AGCAGGATTAGAAAACCAGATGCAGACTTCTCAGAAAGCATCTCCCTGGAAGGATTTGAAACCAGGGTCACAGATTTCAACGTTTCTGCACTACAGAATGTTTCAGATTCCATTGTGAATCTTGCACTGAGCCTGTTTTGTGTTGACACAAGCGTGTCATTCTAGGCAAGAATATGTTGCAATTAAAACCAGCATAAGGTAACACATGAGCCAACAATTGAAGCCAAGAGTGTCAGTCTTTCAGCCTGCTCAAATTATTGGAAGGAAAAGAGTCCCATAACAGGACCAAGATCATAAATATTTTACACAAGCAAGAAACATATTGGCAGTGCATAAACCAGTAGGAAAATTTATCAGAAGTGACAAAGATTTCTCAGTTAAATGCATGCACTAACGAGATTTCCCCCTGCTATACCTGCAGTATAGGATACCATTCAAACGCCAGAAGGCTCTACCGCAAGTTAATGTGCTTGCTGGATTTATATTGTGGGGGAGACTCCATAATAATGTGGCTCAGGAGACCTGGGTACGACTCTGAAGAAGCCCTTGCTTTTCTTCTCATTTTCCCATTTTACAGGTAGATATAATGATACCAGCCTGTTTCATAAATTACTTCAAATTCTCTGTGAGAAATTTTGTCTAAATAATGAGATATTAAAAAAACCAAACCAAAACAGTTTCGTGTTTTCTTTGAACAGGCCAGCAAAGAAACAAAAACTTGTTTTAGGTGCATCTGTTGTTTCCTTTGAGACCTACAGGGAATGATTTGTAAGAGGAAATAATTGAAGGAAATGTGTTCATATTTCCTGTTGATAAGGTACAGCATTTAATTCATACATCAGATTGAGATAGTGGCTTCTTGCTCTTACATAGCCACAAAATCCAGCCCATTTTAGTGTCTTTTAAAGACACTGCTGCTATGACTTCTGTCCCATCTTTTAACTCGTGTGCTTTTGGTCTTAAGCTGAGAAAATGCCCCCACTGTTGAGGAGAGGCTGAATAATTTTACAGACTAAAGGAAAAATGCTGATGGCAGCAGCTCATCCTGACCATCTGCTGCTTCCAAGGACACCAGTGTAAATCCATTGTAACAAAGGTCATTTGTGAAGCTGGTGGGTAAGGCTCTGTACGAACTTGTAGTTTTTACCCTCTCTGGTTCCATATTACAAACATAGGCATTGGAGGCTCAAGTATTAGAGGATAAATTTGTGTTGGAGTTGTTGGTCCTGGGAGTACCAGCTGCTCATAGCATAGCTTCCTAGCTTGGCAGAAGAAACTGTAACCTACTAAAAAAAAAGCAGCAAAGTGCACACTCTAATAATTGGGTTTAGTGATGGAAACAGCTTCCTTTTAAGCATTTGGAATAGATTCTCACCTGGTATAAACTTGCAGCTCATTGCCCAAGCAGAAGCTCTGTCCCTGTATATCCCTCTATGCAATGCCTCTCTCATCTCTGAGCTCTGAGTGTTTAATTATTGGTGTGGATTTTAGTTCTTAATAATTTTAATCAAGCCTTTTCTGATCTGCCTGGAACTTCTGCTTTTAGACCTGGAAAATTTTCTCATTGTATGATGCATAAATTTAAGTCTGAGTTCTATATGTAAGTTGTCTGTATTTGTTTATGAGCCTGAGGTCTCAGTTTATTGATTTATTTCCCTCAAAGGGAAATACCAGTCAATTCTACTCAGTTCTTTTTGAGCTATTGGTCCTTAGCAAAATTTACATTGAGCAACATGTTTTCTGTGAGACCTACAATACCAGAGAACGCCGAGTTCTCACTGTGCTGCTTTGCAATTTTAATCAGTGTAGGTATTGCAGACTCTTGTAACAACATTAAACAAGCTATTTAGTATTTCCTGTCTCTACCTTGGGAATGCTCCAGAACCGGCACTTCTCACTGAGGAGTTCCTTCAGTTACTTAACACATACTAGAAAATCTTTTCTTTTTAAAATTATTTGATCACAGATAAATTAGTATAATTTAATCTGTAATCTTTGTCCAGACACCTTACGGGTCTGTAAGTAAATGTGCAACATTTTAACATAGAAGTGGCTGGCTGCATTTGGCTGGGAATTGTGTAATTCCATCTCCTGCTGTATGTGTTACATGCTCAATTGCTTCCGGGGAAGTAAATAGGTGTGACAGTGTGATCAAATGGGGCCTATATGCCACATCAGAGAGTACAACCTCCTTTTAT